GCCGCCTACAGCAGAGCCCCCGCCAGGCCGGGCTTCCCCCGTACCCGCTCCTTCCCCGTACCCGCTCCTCCAGACGTCTCCTGTGGTCGCTTTAAAAGGGGGACGGGGTACACAGCCCCCCTTGCGCCCGCCGTCATCCTCCCCGGCGGCAAGGGGACGAGTGCCCCCAGGGTTGCTTGTTGGCCGAAGTACTGAAAAAATCTCTGAGGTGAATTGAGTTGATCTCCAGGAGTCTTGTCGCGGGGACGTCCCGCCCTTGCTCGGGGCGGCAGGGAAGGAGCCGCAAGGTGGGACAGCAGGCGGGTTGTGTGTGCTGTGAATTCTGCATTAAACACCCCATAAAGAGCCCAGAAACCTGGGGAAAGAGCCCAGAACTCAGGGGGCAGAGCCCAGAAACCTGGGGAAAGAGCCCAGAAACCTGGGGGAAAGAGCCCAGAACCATGGCTCTTTCGGCTCAAGCCCTTGCCCCCGACAAGGCAGTCTTTCTCTGTTAGTTTTGCAGTTTTTTGCTACTTGGTGGCACTGCATCAACAGAAATAGTGAAGATTTCTTCTCCAGCATGGGTCTGGCAGTTGAGACGCTTGTCTGCATTGGCAAGGCACGGGTCCAGGCAGAGAAATGGCGTACCTGCTTCTTGGTGAGCAGCCTGCCCACACGGCCAAAGGCTTTTACACCTTTTCAACCTGCGCTGATGAGGTTTCCTTGAACTTTTAAAGTTCCCAGTGAAGAAGAGTCCTGCATCATGACTTCAAGCATGCTCTGAAGGTAGGTTTGCTCTTGCCAGCTGTCTTTCACAGGTACGTCTGTCTACAGGTTGAGAAGCACCGTCCCCTTACAACAAAAAGATGGCTTCTATCTCTTCTTTAGAAATGGCTTCTGCCTCCTGTACTCAGCGTTTTTAATCTGTGCTGTGATCTGGATTAGGCTCCGCAGGTGAAACGTGCAAGCAATTGTAGATGTACCAGGGCTGTGGGCACTTAATGTAGTGTCCTGATGCTGACGATTTCTTCAGATTCCTGAGAGTTCGCAGGTATTTATGGGTCACTGTTCAAACTGAGAACATAAGAAATGCTGTAACAGGGCATACCAAATATCTAGGTCAGTGAACCAGGCAAGAATAGAAGAGTAAGGCAAGCGCGTGGTAATCCTTCCCTGGCTCACCTTCCCAGCCTCCAGAGTGCTGCAGCTCAGGAATTTCTGAAGTCAGCTGTGTTGATAGATGGGGGTGCCTGCACTTTGTCAGATCCCCAGTTTAAAAAGGTGAGGGATTTAGTGTCCTATTTGGGAAACGTGAAATAGCACTGTAACTGTGGTATGTGAGGTGTGCTGCATAATGCCAGTCCAGCAAATACGAAGTCACTGGGGAGACGGGTCACCAGCTAGCCAGTTGGGACTAACTGAGGACTGCAGCAGCCGGGGAAACAGAGAAGCTGCAGTTTATCTTTCTTCTAGCAAGGAGGTGCTGAAAGAGCAAGGAAAAGACTTCATGTGAAACCAAGAAATGAGAGACAGGAGGTGTTTCCCAGGTACCCAGAGGTCAGCCCTAATTCCCCTATTATAAGCCTCCAGGAGCACAGAGGTTATAAGAAGAGCAGCTTTTCCGAGAGGAAAGGAGTACTAGAGATCCAGCCAGGGTGGCAAAGATGGGGTGCTATCACAATTACTTTAAATCATTTGAGCCTAAGCCTGCCATGGGTCCTATGTTCTTGGTTCCTCCGCTGTGTTGGTTTTAGCATTTGTAAAGGATGGATTTGCCTGAAATTTTATGAGGGAAAAGGAAGTTTTCCTTGATAGGCAGATGTCCTGAAAAGACAGATCGGTTCCTTGATTGAGTTAGTCATGTGTCCCCAGGAGCACTACTGTTGGCACAATGTGGTAACAAGGATGTGTAGCTAAGACTGTGGAACTGTGCTTTCAATGGAAACCCATGCTTAGACTGGAACTATCAGAGTGGTATGAGACTATAACGTCTGTCACCCTTTTGAGACCACCTTGACTATCTGAGGTCACATCACATCAGTTCCCGCCAGTATGTCAGAGGGCTCCAAAGTGCAGAAGCGGGATCTTAACATCTGCTTCATGTGAAACAAGACTGGTACACACCGGCATTTTGTAGCACCTTTTTGGCAAAAAGATGAACTGAAAGTCTATTTTTTTTAAATCTCAATATCACAAATATTTTCCTCTATTGGGGGATTTGATGTTTCACAAAGAAGAGACATTGCACAGAAACAAGCACAAGCAAGTAACAATTTTATGTCTATTGAAGAAGCCTAAACTTCTGAATTTCAGTGTGCTTCAGAGTCTTACTAAAATGTTTTTGATTATTAAACTCCTATCCAGATCATAAGAGTGTCAGGGTAAGAACAGGGAGGTTTATCTGTTAGCATATGCATTAAGTAACTTTTTTCTTTTTATTAGTTATATTTTCTTCCCTGTACTTGAATTAATTTTTTCCACAATACATTAGGTTTTGTATCTAATTAAGGCTGTGATTGTTTTGGTAGAGACAGCATATTGCAGTTTCCCAAATTTAATAAGATTATTTTAACTGAATAATAAATGACTAGTCAAAAGGAAATATTTTTAATAGAGTTTGGTACAGCATTTTCTATGTGACTTCTGGGTCTTGTTTTCATTTCCAGCGTCTTTCCCTATACATTTGCTTCTTCATTGATTTAGCAATGCTCTCTTCGCTTATGCTAGTTTATTAAATGCTGTGGTTATAATCTCTATGGAGTCCTCAGTTAATTGTGCTCATAGTTCCGGAATCATGTGCAAACATTTTCTCCTGTTGTGATGTTGCCAGGAAGGCCTGTTCCAGCTTTGACTATAATTGTCCACCTGACAATGGAAATGCACATATTTTTTTACATACAGTTTTTATCACTGCAGTCCATACCTATCTTGAGGTGACACTTCAAACACTAAACACATTTCCAACAGCTGAAGAGGGAAACCCTTTTTACTGGGCAATATTACAACTTCATTTTCTTGCTGTCGAGCTCCTTTGCCTGTGGATCTCTAGTCTGACGCTCTTCAAAGCTTCATCTTAGATTGTTCTTTTCCCCCATCAGCATATTCTTCAAAAATAACCATATTTTCATAAGATAATTATAGTATCAGAGAGTTAGTCCATCAGCAAGATGAACTTCCTTCCATATAGAGTAAGAATGAATATCAACTACTTCCTTCAGAAATATGTGAAAACTTCATTTCTTCAACTCTGTTTGCTTCCAGTAATCTCCATTCTCATACACCTATAGGTAGCTAAACAAAGAAATTAGAAAACATACCACTCCTAGAGTCAGATTTCCTTATAACTTTGAGGATATGTGTGAAAGGTGTTCCTAGCAAAATGGACTTTGATTGCTGAGCGTGCCAGTGTTACCCGTTTGTAAGTCTCAGTATATGTAGTTCTAATCAACCAACACACTATGTTCAAGTCAAATAAAAAGGTATTTCTTTGTGATGGCTAGAGCTTATGGGTAAGTCTACTATTAAGAAGTATTGCTATAAGAACACGTCGCTCTCTTGCCATTACAGCAAGTGTTTTTTATTACACTGTGGACAGCTCTCACTTTACATTCATCAGTAAGTCTTTATAGCAGTATGAATATCTCTTAATTTCTTTATGCTCTGAGGTATTTCTGCTCATTTCTCGTAAATGAGTAAATAAACTGTCTGACTCCTGTCTCTTAATATTCATAATCTGAGGGGCTTTTCTTTCTGGCTGCTTAAACAGCTGACACAGTAGGCGTTGTCTGTGGGTAGCCAGGAACGTGCTAGATAGACAACTATTTTAAACGGAATTACAGTGTCGTAGATAGCCAGGTCTGAGGTGCTGGGGTTTTCCTAGCCACTGCCATAGATGAAAACAGATTTGCAGCAATAGGTTTTGCTATCCTGAAAGTTGTAGACAACTGATTCTTGTCATGTTTTGGTATGCTTTGATAATAAGAAGCAAATGTCCTGTGAAATAAACTGAACAAAGCACAATTGGTTGGAATTCCCATATTTCTTACATCTTTCTGTTCTGTTAAGTGCTTCTAGACCTTATTAAGGAGTTGATTCTGAATATGGTTTGTTGATATCTTTGTCCATTTCTAGCTCTTAACCTGATCTGGTAAATCTGTAGATAAACACTAGACATGGCATCTCTACATTCTCTATGCACAGCATAATGGGCAATATGATGGTCAAATTGTTTCATGCTCTCAGTGATTTTTAAATGATGAAATTTCTCAAATGTTGTTTGTTCTTTCATATACTTACCCCAATAGTAGTGATTAACTAACGTGTATATACCACTGCAAAATCATTGTGCAAAATTATTTGTAATCCAGGCACCCTTTCAGCCACTCTTTTCAGATGTTCCGTTCTGCCTCCATGGTGTGTTATTTGAATGCATTTCTGAAGCTCATTAAGCAGTACAACTGGTATCTCTGTGGTTCTCAATTTTGCCTTTTCCCTCCAGTGGGAAAAATTATTTTAATTATTTAAAACCTATGTTTGCTTTGTCAGTTATTGATGACAAGTTCCAAGAAGTCTCCTTGTGTGTAGAGCACACAAGAGATTTTTAGGAATCATCTTACATGATGTTCAAAGTGATTCTTGGGTCAAGGAGAGCAAGAAAAACTTTGTAAAGACCTGGACAGCTCCCTTAGGCCTCTGGAGTAGATTTATAAGTCACAATTTCCATTTTAAGCTATCAGGACTAAGCTAGTGTATGCGTGCCTTCTTCCCAGTCCATCATATGCCTGACCATAAATACCAAGATTTTAAACTTGACTGGATTCTAGGGGAAGACTGCACAGAAAACAGAAGCAGGACATGATCTGCTCCGATAGGGTGACTGGCTAAAGAGATGTACTAATTATTTATAGCAAGGTGTATTACATTGCTGTAGCCCAGATCAAAGATGATAACAAAGCAGTAACTGATGCCATATTATTATCTTCATTCAACAGGAATGAAATCTGCTTGCCACCAAGATGAAGCTCCACTTAAATAACACTTATATTAAAAATCAGCGTCTTGTATTGAAGAAAACTCCAAGGCAAACATGAGCTGCTGTTTGTGTTCATGCAAAACCTTCCTCTGGATCTAGAAAAATGGTTCCAATATCCATTTATTT